AGTGAGAAGAGAACAGTTTCTAGAGAAATGGAAAACTTCATTGGCTATTAAAGGCCACTAGAAATGAATTGCTAACATGATGCATTTCCCCCCTCCCCTTACATTTTAACAGATTAATTTGCCACTAAACAGGCGTTTCCCTCAAAAATGATGATTTTTATTTGATAGTCTTGGAATATTCCTGGAACTCAAGTCCAGCCAATGAATCTAGGTTTTTTGTTGGTTGAAGTTCAGGCTCTATGATCTCACCTAAACTGGCTCCTGGGAATATGGTTGGAAATTTTAAATTTTGTGCTTTTCCATTTTCCCTTTCTTTGTAGCCCAGTCCAGATGCCATGTCCCTACAGATCTTTCCTTAAGTCCCAAATGACAATAATTCGCCCATCATCTGGACATCTAGAGAGCTTGTATTTAAATCCTGTCATTTGGCCCCGTGCAGTGAGATGCAATGTGGTAGAGGAGAGGCTATGTGTATTGGAGCAGGGCAGGAATGTGTTTGCATCTTGGGATGAGTATTTACCAGCTCGGTGCTTGTGACTTCTCAATATTCCATTCTCTGTCAAATGATAATATTCAAAATAGTAATGATGATAATGACACCTGTCTTACCTGGTGTTGGGAGAATTCAATGAGGTCACACATAGATTAGACTCGGTGCACAGGAGAGACAATTCATAACTATGATTTCCAATTTCTGTATCTCCACCCTCACTAGCACTTGTAAATAACATCATTTGTAGAAATAACAAGTCTGTCCTTCCTTAACACTAACCAGGCAAACTAAGAGCTTTTCATCAGGGGACTATGTCTCATCAACTGGCATGCCGTTTTTTTGGCACTTAGTCAACCTCGTAGGCTTTACTTTAGATATCCTCATAAAAGTAGTATTTTGTTTCATGTGAGGACTCAATTCTTGAAAGTTGCTTAGTGTTAATTTTTTTTTTTAAATTAAATCTTCCTTTCCAGCCACCTGGGAAATGCACCATTAAAGTGAGTCATGTGGTTTATCCTTTCGTAGAGTTGACTTTTGGAAAGTGAATAATCCCTAGTAATTTAAAGTGCTTATATTCAGATACCAATGCTCCTTAGAGAGGTGCCTAATCCATGTGCATCAACTACTCTGTACAATCTTCTATTTCTGAAAAAGAATTGCCACTGAAGCCAGGGATGGGTCTACATGAATGATATTCTTCTATTGTGTGGAATTTGTCTTTACTTTTTAATGAACTAATGTAGAAATGGGTTGGAATATATTTAGATTCTCCATAGCACAGACTTGTAAGACCTTATTTTTAGGAAAACTGTTAAGAGCCAAGGGGAAATGAGAAGGAAACTGATATTTATTGAACATCTACATGCTAAGCATTGATAAGCATTTTCACCAACACAGCACAGCTATTCCTCATCATGTTATGAACAGCACTCTTCCTATTTTATTGGTCAGAAAAATAGGCAAAGTAATCTATGCAAGCATCAGAAGCCGAGATTTGAAATCAAGTCTGCCTGATGCCAAATCCCTTACTAACTCCAGTAATGTATTCCTTCTTGAGTATAATATACTGAGTTTAGGCAGGAAGTGAAAAATCTTAAGATTTGTGTGGTATTTACCTTATTTGGTGGGCACTTAAAAAATATCTTATTGTGCATTATCCTGGAGCCTCATTTTTATTTGGGTATGCAACATGGACCTAAACCTTGGCTCGGAGGCTAGTTCCAGTGAGGTTTTCAAAGAGTTAATATGTTCCCCCTTTTTGTAGAAGATGAAACGTGGACTGCTTCTAGCAGCCACAAAGCTGAGTATTTATTAAATACACTTATTCCCCTTTCATCTATCTGGCCAATGTTCCCAACCATAATCTAATTTCCTCTAAAATTTTCCATGGAGCAGGATGGTGGCTCCAAATCTTGAAATGCTAAAGAAATCATTTAATGACCTGTGGTGAGTTGCTATGAACTCACTCCAGAACTGCTAATAAGTACTTGGAGAAGACTTATGGGTACACTCCAAGTCTCTCCAAAATCACCCTTCTAGCTGCAATCAGGGACTTTCTGGGGGTATTTGGAAGTTCTAGATGACTCTTAGTTCAGTTTGAGATATGGTGCTACTAAGGCCAATGATTTGAGCCCTCTGTCCCCTTCTAGTGCTCATATACTATACCTTTCACTTTGGACAGCCATTTAGCACATAAATGGTATAGGTTGTAAACAGCCAAAAACAAAAGAAAACAAAAACCAGCAGAGATGGCTTATTGTGGACGTTAACTCTGTACATTCATTTAACCTATATTTGCTAAGTGCACATTTGGTACTGAACTCTAGGGGTACATGGCCAACTTGGACAAGGACTGTTACTGAGTAAGTCACAGACTACAGGGGATACTTAAACAGGCAGTTATGTACTGTTATGATGCATACCATGCTAAAGGTAGGTATAGCTAATTATCAGTAAGAGTAACAGAGGAAGGTTGTTGATTAATAACAAATGGAGTTTACTAAGTATCATAATGATGAGAATTATTAGTAATGGTGATTATAACTATTATCATCAATCTCTTAGTGCTAAACCCACTGCTAATGCCTGTATGTGAATTATTCTATTCAACCCAACAACCTTTAGATACTGGTGATGGAGATAATGGGATAAGGAATACAACATTACACACTTTCCAAGGCACTGTGTTGGATCTTTTTTAAGATATTATTTTATTGGATCATGACAGCAACTCTGCTTTTTCCCCCATTATTTGGGGGTAACAAAAACTCTCTGAGGTATTATTATCACCATTTTGGAGGGAAACAATCTGATGCTAAGCGTTTTTATAAATCCCCTAAGAGTATTCAATGATGATGAAGAAGTTTCAGAACCTGGGCTAACTGATTCCAAAGTTTATACCCCCAAGTACATTAAGCCAGACTGCCTTTGGAAAAGGTAAACATTGAAGGGTATTCTGTAGGTAGAGAAAGAAAAGAGAACTTTCCAGGAAGAGGAAATGATACGAAAAAAAAGCATACTGGTATTTTTAATAACATGTTAGAGAGGCCACTTTGTGAGAATGTTTGGTGCAAAAAAGAAAACAGTAGGAGATAAAGTCCAAATTATGGTTTAGTATCAAATTGCAAAGAAGGTGTTCTTTGTGTTTTAGCTAATAGGCTTGTGAGCCAAGGATAGGTTTTGAAGCAAGGGAGAAAACAATTGCAGGTCTGTGGTTTTAAAGAAAAAGCAGATGCAGCGAAAATAAATAAAACTACTTGGTATGACTGGGAAACCCAAACTCTGATAGGATTGTTCAGAGTTTTTGAAAATTCAATTTAAAAAGAATTGTCCTCCAACTCTGAAAATCCCACAGGATTCATAAGTACAGGCAGGTAGCTCCTGTCATGCAACGGATTCTGGGATTCTTTATCTCTGTGCTTTGGATTAGCTTCCAAGTTGGTTAATATTGACAGATAGCGTCCACAGGTCATACAACATACTCTACTGAGTGGTGTTGACATGAAATTGATGAAGACTGGTTGAAGAAATTAGTCTTTGACAAAGGTCTAAGTAGAAAATAGAGCCCTTGAACCCTAGGTCAAACCATACCACCCCTTCCATGGATGAGACTAGTGAAATAACGTGAAACTTCTCTCTCTGGAATGGTGCCTTTGGAACATTCTGAATTTATTATTTCATTCTTCTATACTTGGCTTTATTATTTTTTATTTCAACTCTGCATTTTCAACTTTCAAAAGAGTTACCCGATGCTGAGAAACTCATCTAATGGTATTTTCAACCTGTAAAGAAGGGCCTCCTGAGGTTGGCTTCTTCTGAATAAAGAGATGAAAGATCAACCATCCTTCTTTCTTTGCTCTTTCTCTTCCTTACTTCCTCCTCTTTTCCCTTCTATTCTTTCTTCCTTTCCCTTCCTTTCTTTCCTTCTTTCCTTTTTTACATTTTTCCTATCTTTCCTTCCATTATCCTTTCTCTTCCTCCTTTGATCTCCTTTCATCTTTATTCCGTTTCCCGTCTGTGATATCATTCCCCTTTTCATCTTGGTTTCCCTAACTCATGTGTTGATCACCAAAAGTGCGCCTGTCTGCTGGGAACTGGGAATACAGAAAAGAGCAAAATACAGTCCCTGCCTACCTGGTGCTCATAGTCCAATGAGAAAGAGAAATAAGTAAATATGCAATTACAGTACAACGTGGTAGATGCTGTGATAAAAATGTGCATTTTGGAATTAAAGTGTCCCCCTCTTATCCAGGGTTTTGCTTTCTATGGTTTCAGTTACCCATGGTCAACCACAGCCTGAAAATATTAAATGAAAAATTCCAGAAATAAATAATTCATAATTTAAAATTGCACACCATTCTAAGTATTGTGATGAAATCTCCCCTCTCTCACTTTGTCCTCCCTGGGACATGAGTCATCCCTTTGTCCAGTATATCCAGCCTGCTAGTCATTAGCCCTCTTAGTTATCAGGTTGACTGTCACAGGACCACAGTGCTTGTGTTTGAGTTACCTCTATTTTACTTAGTTATGGCCCCAAAGCACAAGAGTAGTGATGCTGGCAGTCTAGATACGCCAAAGAGAAGCTGTAAAGTGCTTACTTTAGGTGAGAAAGTAAAAGTTCTCAACTTAATAAGGAAAGAAAAACATCATATGCTGAGGCTGCTCAGATCTATGTAAGAACACATCTTCTGTCTGTGAAATTGTGAAGAAGAAAGAGGAAATTCATGCTGGTTTTGCTGTAGCACCTCAAACTGCCAGAGTTACTGCCACAGTGCATGACAAGTGCTTAGTTAACATGGAGAAGGCATTGAGTTTCTACAATAAAGTATTTTGAAAGAGAGAGCAAGAGACTGCATTCACAAAACTTTTATTACAGTATATTATATATATAGTATATATTATAATCGTTCTATTTTATTATTATTTATTATTAACCTCTTATTGTGCCTTGTTTATAAACTCAACTTTATCGTGGATATGTATCTATAGGGAAAAACATAGTATTTATAGGGTTTGGTACTATTTGTGTTTTCAGACATCCACAGAGGGTCTTGGAACGTATTTCCCCACGGATGAGCAGGGACTGTGCAAAGGTGGGACACATGGTCCCAGTTCAGAGTCTGTGAAGTCTTCCTGGAAGTGGTGCCCGGAAATGAGTTTTAAGGTAATATTTGTACCCAGAGAATCACTAAGGCAAAGATGTGACAGGCTGGAACAGTGGGATGCGTGGGGGTCTGTGAGAGCTTTAGAGAGGCAGAAATGAATGGCGCTTGTGGAAGATCTGGGCAGAGCAGATCCTTGTTTCCTATAAAGTTAAGGTCTTTTCCAGGTTTCTTCTTGAGAGTGTTACCATTTCCAAGTCATGCTTGTGCCTCCAAATTGCTGTTGACTGTGGCTTGCAGAACTAGATGCTCTCAGTGGCTACTGTGACAGGGTGGCCTGGTGTTGGCTACCCACTGCATTTTAGTGTAGAACAAAAGCAGACCACAACTTAAACAGACCCAGACTCAAAGAGAAAGCAACTTCTATGTTCAGAGCTTTTGCGACAGAACTGTTCTCTGGGTTTTACGTATATTGTCTCACTTAATCTTCAGTGAACTCCTTCGTGGAAGGAAATGACTAAAATAAATTAACTGGGCTGCACAGAAATCTGGTTGTTGGCCTAAAGAAACACTGTTTCTGATTGGTTCTGGTCTTATTCTTAACTGGTAGGGTCGTTTCTGGTTCCAGTTTGCGTGTGAGTAGAGACTGACCCACGCCAGCAAGTAGGGTATCTGAGAATTCAGCTCAAATCTGAAATTATCTACCCAAAGATAGCAGCAGATTCCACAGGGAAAGGGCTCAGTCTGCGAGAGTGCCCTCCACTTCCGACGCCAGCCGCAAGCACAGGTTGTGCTTCTGACCTGCCCGCTGCAGATGGGAGGTTCCAACGATTCCCTTTAACTTGGGATGCAAATCCAGCTTGCTACCTGTACCTCTGACCAAATGGCTGTAAATCAGAGGTTGCCATGATCCCTTCCTTGGGTTCAATTTTCTTGCTAGAACGGTTTATTTACTAGATTACTGATTTTTTACAAAGAGGGTACAAGTCAACCGTCAGATGAACAGATACATAGAGCGAGGTCTTGAACAAAGGAGCTCTATCTTCATGGAGTTTGGAACCTGGCATGGTGACCTGTGGAAACATTCTGGTTCCTCAGCCTGGAAGCTCTCCAAACCCCCTTCCTTTTGGGTTTTTATGGAGGCTCCATTACAGAGGCATGATTGATTAACTTATTGGCCATGGCGATTTATTCAACCTCCAGCCCCCTCTCCTCTCCCTGGAAATCGGGGTGGGACTGAAAGTTCCGACCCTCTATTCTTGGTTAGTTCCCCCCCTTAACCAACCCCCATCTTTAAAAAGGTGCTTTCCAAAAAGTCATCTTCATTATTATAAACCCAGTTGTGGTGGAAAGGAGCTTGTTATGAATAACAAGACACCCATTTTGCCTTTCACCCCTGAAGTGTTTTCAGGAACTGAGGACAAGAGACTAAGTATTATGCTAAAAGATGCTTCCAGTGCTCTTATAACTCAGGAAATTTCAAGGGTTTTGGGAGCTTTGAACCAGGAGCTGTGAATAATGACCAAATACATATAAGAAATCTATTTTTGTCATTTGAATAACCCAATATATATGTTTCTTATAAATCACAGTGTCACATGGAGCACTGCATAGGTGAGGACAGTTCTAAACATGACTACACTAAGCAGTTGTCTGTGATGCAGGAGTTGCTTAAGGCAGCTACAGGAAAACATGGGACGGTAAAGATGTTGTGGTCTACTTAGAAAATCTGAGAGCTTTTGTCTTCACTCATTCTTTGGATGGGCTGGCACACAAGTTTCCCTTGAGGTTTTATCTGGTACAAGCTGAATGTAGAAATCTAAACTAGACTCTGACGCTTAACACAAAGAACTTTATTATTCCCCTTGTTCATACTACCTCATGTTTTTTGGTTGAAATGACACATATATCAAAACATGAGATCCTAGGAGGTGCGTTTAAGTTGCTTACAGAGAAGGGTCCTGAGAATCAGAGTGACAAAAGGGAGAATCATGGGCTCTAAGACCAGGTGTCACCTGGCTCAAGTTCTGGATCCTTGCAGTTGGAATACTCTGAGTGGTGGCTTCTGGATGTGGACTGGGACCAGGGCTGAAGGCTGAGGGGCTGAATATTATGGAGAAAGGAGTTAGGAGAACAGTGTTAATGGGATATAAATCACAGTCCTGAGTATAATCCAAAATATAGCATTCAGAAATAAACAGCATAAAACAAAAAAGACATTTGAGCTACAGCATCAGTCTGAAGGGCATTGGAAGAGATTTGAGTCCAATTATGAATCGATGGGACAGAAACTCTGGCCCAGAGCAAGAGGATGTAGAAAAGAGGACAGGAAAGAGAGAGAAAAAAATTTCATGAGTTTTGGGAATGAACCACAGGGGATTTTCATAAGGACACTGACAGTTTACAGAATACTCCAGGCTGCATAAATTTACATGTCCATGAACTTCTCTGAGCCTCAAATTCTTCTTCTGTAAAATGTGGATCAAAATACTGCCTGCCAGGATGGCTCTAAGTAATATGTGTGTATTTGGAAAGGGGAATTGTAAATTTACTCAACCAAATACGTGCAAGACCTGTGTACTAAAATTACAGAACATTTTACATAAAAAGACACTAGTAAATGGAAAGGTGTACCATGTTATTGGATCATATATTTTAATAAGATGTCAATTCTCTTCCAATTGATTAATAGGTTCAATTCAGTAGCAATCAGTTTCCAGCATAATTTTTAAAATAGAATTTTACGTAAAATATCTAAAATTCATAAAGAAATGGAAAGCCTAGAATAGCCTAAGTGATTCTGAAAAAGAGCAATGGTGATAGACTTAGCCTGCCTGATTTCAATACCTACTATCAAATACCTTAGTACAGTGGATTATTGACATAAAAGGAGGCATAGACATCAGTGGAACAGAACTGAGGCCCCACATAAACTCCCTTGTAGATATCAATTGCTTTTTGAAAAAGGTGCCAAGGTAATTAATGGGAGAATGAGCA